TTCATGAACTTTAAAAATGTTAATTGTATTGCATTCTTGGTTTCACTCAACCAGAGCTCTGAGCTACTTACACTGCCCACTGTGAAAAGTTATTGTTGAGCATTTTGGTCATGCTAGGAGCCACTCAACAATCTACATTTTTATTCTTTAAGTTACATTATATTTTGAGATGTGAATGACAGTGTGATTAATTCCTAATAACTTAGTGCAGAATATTCTGCTTGCTAAATAAAATTTGGCATCAACATTATACATGCCTGTTCTCCCATCATTTTAAAAGTGAATGTTGAGCTTTACCTGCATGTGCAGCTTTTCAAACGGTTTGCAATAAGTATAAGATTATAACAGCAATGGTAATAACAATGATGCAATATTAAGATCCCATCCATAGACGTGAAAGGGACAAGTGAAGAGGACCATGTAGCAATGAAGTTTAATGGAAGCTGATAAATTTTAAGTAACAGGATTGGTTACCCCCTCAACACCTATTGAAATTATTTTAGAAGTCAGATAATAGGCAGTTGCCATTGGAGAAGGAAGTCCTCATGGAGAATACAGCACTAATTGAAGTACAGTAGACCCCACAATCAACATCCTCAGAAGGTCATGTGTAAGATTATTAAGGCAGTACCCCCATATGATGCAAATCACTCATTAACTGTTACCCGAAAATGCACATGAATAGCTAGATTTTACATACCAATTCCTGGTTCAAGTAAGAACTGATGACACCTAGCCCATCATATGGACTGAGACTCACTTTTCTCCCCTAGATCCACACTTACACACTTGTTATCTGGGGAGAAAGAAATCTACATGCTTTTGTGCAATGGCCATTACGTTTGTAGTAAGTAAATACTACATAACTTATTTTCTTATAGAATTTACTTTCTTACCTACAAAATTGAAAATTTATTCTATGATCTAATTTGGAACTTTCTAAATCCACTTCAGATGATATCTTAAAATTAGTTTGAAATGTTTTTTTTTTTCCTTTAGCTTGATTGATCAATGAACTTATCTACTGTTTTATGGAATAGTTGCATATAATCTGCTTGACCTTGTGTCTAGTGTTGTAGTGTGCAAACTGTGGGGCATGCCTCCTAAGCAGGGCCGTCGAGAGCAGCGGCGGGCCCTGGGACTGGGGTTGCCCCGGGCGCCCAGTGGGATCTAGGAGCTGAGCCCCTGATGGGAGACCAAGAGGGAAGCTCTAGACTTTTAGTAATTTTAGCAATATTTTAAGTCTTAATACCACTAAGTTACGGCTTAAAATGCTGATTGCCTTTGTGAAATTTTCCGTGGACAAAGGACTTTAACAATCAACAATATCATTTTGAGAAAAGAAAAAACGTAACTATCTGTTCATTTAATTGGATAATTTATTGAAAGTTTAAACACATTGTCAAGAATTACTTTAATGAGTTCAGTAATGCAGAATTGTTATAACTAAACGAAACATGCTTTACGTGCCTTTTTTAAAGCAAATGTTTTTATTATTTCATTGTAGTCAATTCTCCCTGCAAGTTCGCTCTCAATACTAAGGACGGCTAGGTCATTCAGTCTCTCCTGTGTCAACGTGCTTCTCAAGAAGTTTTAGTTTGCTGAAAGATCTCTCAGCAGATGCTACTGTAACTGGCAATGTGCAGAATATTCACAGTGCAATACATACATTTGTAAAAATGTCATCTAACTTGTACCTTTTAATTGTTTTTAAAAGCTGATATGGCCCCATATCTTCACCAAAGTTTGATGCATGTATTGCCTTAAGGTGCCCCATTTCCTCTTGCATGGATTCTGAGAGATCGTCTGGGTATTTATCCACTAATCTTGAGCATGTAAGTTTGAGTTCCTCTTCTGTCATGCTTCAGTATTGTCACAGAACGCAGAACAATTTATTAATTGTGTTGCAGCGTCAAACCGCTTTGACACTCCGTCAATCACCGAATCAATGACAACAAAGAGGACATTCCGTTTGAATTCAGATTCAGGCATTCTGTTCCTCCTTTTCTTATTGGTCAACTTCAGATAGAATATATATTATGAATGCAGTTTTGTTGGTTTCACATTACATTTCTTTCATCTTTTGAGGAAACAATTCTTTTCATGCATGAGAATGTCAGGATTTGCTGATGAAGTATAATTTTTGATTTGCCATACCCTTTCCTACATGCTGATTGTGTGTTGCTCCATTCCATTTAACCATTTTAATTATTACATTTATTTTTATTTGCAATAGTCCTAGTGCTACAATGATCTGTCATCTTTTGCCCATCTGTATAGTTGTGTGCAAACTATTTTACTATATTACTTAATTGTAGTAATATTTGTATGGCATTTTTTAAAACTTTTTTATTTTTAAACTTGTACTTTTAGATATAAATTATATGCTTCTATAGTCATGGTTGTGCACCCCCCCCCATCAACTCTCCATGCTTTGGGGGGCACATCCCATAGTTTGTGCACCTTGCATCTGTAATATAATGAAGGATTTTACTTTCACTCTATAATTGTGTCTTGTCTCCTTCATTTCACCTGTAACGAAGTACTAAGCTTGTTACCTGCATGTTACATTCACAAATTTCATGTTTTGTGAAGATTGAGTGGCTGTAAGCTAGGTGTAACCTTGAATTACCACAGATTCACAAGCAAGTTCATCATTTGGTCTTCATTTCTTTCAGAAACCCACAAATAACAAACTTTGGTGGGGCTAACAATCTATGCTGTCATTCCTTCATTTCAGGGAAGAAGAGTTTTGAATGAAACAATCTTAATACATGATATTGCTCCACTCCACATTGTACAGTCTGTCAAGACATTGCTAGAATAAACTTTTAAACATCGAGTACTCCGCAGATATTTCTACACAGCCACTAGTATAGTCTCTAGATCTTACTTCTGTTAATTTTTGGCTAGGGGCTGCTTCAACTTATAAGTGTGTTTGGGCATACCTACTACCTTTGCAGACCTGAAAAATATCATACTGGATCTGTTAAAAATTAGATAGTATCATTCAGATTCTGTCACTTTCTCTTGGAAATGTAAACAGTAGTGGACATGAATATTTGCTATGCAAACTTCATGATCAGTTTTATCTAAGGAGTATTAAAAAAATTATGAATTTTAAAATGAAGTTGGGATCCTGCTATAAAAAGTAATGAAACAAAAATTAAAACCACAATCACAAATTTATAAAATTTAATCCATACTTTGGCAGCTTTATACACTTGTCTGTGGGCCAAAGTAAGTATTACATTTTATATACTTGTGATTGGGTTTGATTCTTTTTTCATTACTTTTTATAGCAGGATCCCTACCTCCTTTTAAAAAAAAATTAACATTTTTTTAATACTCTTTGTTTGTTTACTTTTTATTTTATACCTCTATTAAGTATATACTTTACCTTTTGAAACTGTTATGTGTCTATCCTTCAATATGCAGTGCCATCCATTGGGTTGAAAATATATTTAAGTATATGCACGATATGTTTACCATTTATATTATACCTGTATAAATATGTGTGTGTGTATATATATATGGATTTTTATCGTATTATCAAAAATGGATACTCACAGACCAGTCAAATAAGCTGGAGAAATTTTGTAGCAGTAGTTCAAGCTGTCTAGGCACTAGCCCTGCTGACGTGATCAGGTAGGTAGATAGTAGACAAAAAGTTGGCGTCTTAGAAATTTTTAATTTTTATACCAGAAATGTTAACGACCTTTTTAGCATATTATTAGTATATATGTGTATAATATACCGTGATCAATACTTTGAATGGTTTGTTTTTCACTTAAGAATTCAATAGGGTGGTTTTTTGGCACGTGAATTATTTAGAACCTTTGTCAATCCCTACTATTAAGTACTACCGTACTTAAAATTGACAGTTATTTTTGGCAAAAGAATCATATTTTTCATCATCCCATTAGTTCATTTACCAAATATGGTGGTTCTCTTATTATTTCATGGGTTATAGGTGTTAGCCTAACTAATATTATAATACTTTTATTCAATATACCAGTTATTTTATTTTTCTAATCATCTTCTTTAGCTAGGTATAATTTTCACTGTGTATTTTTCCTTACACAATACACTAACTTTCACTGCCTATTTCTGTTGCTCAGTTTAACATCTTTTGTGTGCTTTTCTTTGATATACTAATTTGCATTGACTAATTTATTTACACAGTTTACTGACTTTCATTAATTATGTTTGTTTTTTGAGTTTACTAACTTTTACTGGCTTTTCTTTGCATAGTAGTAAACTTTCAGTAGCTGGTTTCCTTTGCTATTTACAGAGTTGTACTGATTTTTTCTTTAGTAAATATAGTAAGTGTCACTGACTTTCTTACTTATTTTACTGACAGTCTATTGACTCTGTGTCTTTTCTGAATACAGCATTTCACAGGCTTTTTCCTTTACTTAGTATAATAATTTTCCATGGCTATTCATCCTTACACCATGTACTATCTTTCATTATAACTGTCTTTCTTTACTCAAAATACTAAAGCTTTCCCTATTATTTTCCTTCACTTGAATAAATCAATGTTATGATGGAAGTTTACCTTTAATTAGTTCACCAAATGTAACAACTAGCATCATTTATTCAGTGCACCTTGTTTCACACAGTAGTTCAGGTTTAGTTGATTCTTTCTTTCTGTTTTTCACTCTTATATCAAGTTTTGATGCATATCTATTTTCAGTGTTCTGTCTTTGTTTTATATTTTTATCCAATATTTTACAATATTATGACAGCATATATATAGGATAAGTTACACAAATAATGTATGATTAATACAAAAGAACAGTATTTTGAACAGTTGTTATTCCATAGGATTAACACTGTTTGCCATAAAAGTAAATTCTTAATCATCCTTTTGTTTTAATAGTCTTCATTGTATAAATCTCAGCTTTTCATTGTGATTGTAATATATGATGTTGTTTTCTTATAACTTTGTTTGGTTAACTTACTTTTTTATATATCTTGATGTTTTATTGCAATAGGTGAGACTACTGTTGAAGAAGGCAAGGTTTACACTGAATCTGACTGGACCAATACTGAGTTAGCCACACTTGACTATTACAGTAAAAGTAAAACAGTGGCAGAAAGAGCAGCGTGGGACTTTGTTAAAGATCTTCCAGGTTGGACATAGTTTCACTAGATATTGATAGTGCACTTAAAGAGCAAAGTTGGATTTCTAGTTTTTACATGGTAATGTAATTTTTTTGTTTGTTTAACAAGTTGATGGATAAGGTTGTTACCTAGTTAGATATGAAAAAAATTTAAACGACAAACTCAAATCTTATGATATTTTAAAAGGAAATAAAAATCAGTTGTTCCAGTAAGTACTAACAATGTGAGATATATTTTTCTTTTTGTTTATACCTCTTATTTTAATCATACATGAGACTTAAATTGCATGTAACAGCAATTTATTAATATGACATGGCTTGTAATTATAAAGTTTAAGGTTTAAGGTCTTTCTCTCACACTGAAGTTGGTTTTCTGGTAGAGCACCCAACATATCTTATATCAATAATTTTAACACCATAGAAAATGAAGCAACTTCTATATTATTATTATTATTTCTAATTTATTCTTCTAGTCAGATAAGCTTGTTTTGAGCTTGAGTGATATCAGTTAAACACATTGTAAATATTAAACAATCTGCAATAAAAAACATTTGTCTTTTTAATTATATTCATTTTCATATTAATTGCCTTATGTTTTTTAGACCTACAGTTGTACATTCAAAATAATGTTATTTCACAATAATTTTATATTTTCAGAATAATATATCAAAGATTGAACTATTGTGAGTGAATGAAGTATAAGAATATTATTTCTTATGTAGGACTTCTTTTTTTTTTTTAATCGTGAGATTGACTTGCAATTTAGTGTGTACTAGACAACCCGTGACCCGTTGGGTCACCCACTATTCAGAAGTTATGAAGAATTCAAGCTAATTTCAATATTGCACCGAAATGAAGGTTTATTTTGAGATAATTTAATTAAATATTTCAATCCATTCGTGTTATTCGTAATTCAAGAAAATATATTTAATTGTTGATTGGGAGTAAAAGGAAAGACCATTTCATTTTTCAAAAAAGTGAAGTAAGAAGTTTGTAAAAAGCGAGAACGGTAGTGTGAATGATTTTTTGACTGAGCACAAACGGTAGTGTGAATGATTTTTTGACTGAGC